CCTCTGGAGACCTAGGTTAACCTTCCCTGATAACCACTGAATTTGTGATTCAGGTCCTCCACCACAAGGACCAGACTCATAATGGTGCCATATCAGCAGCCATTGTCTTCATGCATACCCTTGGGGTGGGCTCCTTCATCACTGTTTTGTTGGTTTGTAAGTCCCTCGTTTGTCCGTCTCATCCAACAAGAACACATGACCATGAAAATGGTATTAGTATTCAAAATTTATTGTGGTATGAGGAGAAATCTGAAGTGTTATTGTGTAATATGTTATAAAGAAACTAACTTTTATAAGAGTACACTTTAAGGTGAGGACAAGGGCTATTTTTGGAAGCTCATGATGTCCAAATAGTTTCTGCTGATAATATTAAACAGGAGTCTTAAAGAGCAGCAATCATTTTTTTCCCCCGTGTAACAGCATGAAAAGCAATCGGTACTTGTACATATGAAATACCCTTGGAGTATATGTTTTTAATTTTATGATTTATTGCTGTGATTAGCCAATGCATTCAGAATTTTTATATATGCAAATATTATTTTTTTTTCCTTTTCTGCTTTAAATTATTCTTACAGAAGATTTTACCTGTTTTTCAATTTCACTGTTTTAAAATAAGGTTATCAACCTGACGTCTTTTTTGGAAATTTGCCTCTATGTTTACAGTGTAGTTTGAACATTTCTGGGATTTAGCAGCATATAGTCACAGACAAGTTGAATCTACATTACTGTGGTGTCAAAAAATTTACTGGCACTGTTAATGTTGTTGACCTTGAAACCAGTGTCTTCTTTAATTACAGCTTTACCTGGAGAAATGGCAGCTACATTAAGATATCTAGCGCTGTGGAATTATCTGTTTACTACAAGTATTTCTGGAATTTACTCTTTCTCAAGGACATTGTTGCTTCTAGGTTTGTTTATGGCTCAGCAGAGCAAGTCGTGAAATTATATAGCATGGGGAGAATTTTCTTTAGCTTTCTTGGTGAGTCATTCTTTCTCCAACAGAAGGACACGTATCCTTTGGTTTGCTTCAGTGTAAGAAGGAAGTGCTTTATGCTGTAAGGTATTTGTTATAAAATTGAGGTTCCTGTCTTGTTTACCTTAGCACAGTGTCTTTTTCCCCTTAATTACAAGAGTTCAGATGACCACAGTGAGAAAGAAGCTGTGTGAATTACTTTGAGCTTATTTTCATTCTTATCAACTGGATAAATGCACCTTCAGTTCTTTGCCCTGCTACATGCCTTTTGTGTGGTCTTAACCTGCCTATGTTTTAGTTCCTTGTATACAAAAGCTTGGATAACTAAACATCCTTGGCTCTTGGAACTCTTTTCAGGGTAAATAACTAAAAGTTCCGTAGGTCTCTTGAATGCTACTCACTTACCATTGGGAACCTTCAGGCATACTAGTCTGTGGATAACAGCCATGCCTAATGTTTAAGCTGTCTAGTCCTTTGTCCTTCAGGGATGCCCTGTAGCTGTACTTGGGGTGGTACAAGTTCAGCTTACCGCCTATGCAGTCAACACATTTGGTCAGGAAAGGCAGCCTTGAGGAATCCGTGAGAGCAATGCTAGTGTTAATGTAGTGGATACCACGTAAGTACCTGGGGTGCTTATTTGCACTGTAGTATTCTGGAAATATATCATGAAAACTACTTATTCAAAATCTTCACTAGACATCAACAGTGTTGTTTCTTGACTCTTCAAAATAAGAAACAACAAAACAGTCTCTAAAGCTTTCCTTCTGTTTAGAGGAATTCTTCCATATCCCATATCTTTAGATGAAGAAAGCTAAACAACCTGAAATACGTTTTCACTGGATTGAGGTTTTCTATGTATTAATTTGTTTAGTTAGTAAATAAGAAAGGGCATTCTTCCAATTTAAGTAAAGATCAGGTTTCCAGATCTAGTGAAACTGCTGGGCTGATTCTGTGAAGTCATCGAAGTCTGTGAGAGGTTATTCAAGTGATGTAGGCATTTTTGTCACTTCTTATTAAGGACAAGACTATATGAATTAATGAGAACTAAAGTCACTTAGGCCATAATGGAATGGTTATTCCAATTTGGTTAAAGTTACTCCTCAGGAGCATGTATGTGTGAGAATATTTGATAGTGACAAGGTATACTGTATGCGGAATTGTATTCCAAATGAAGTGGTGGATACCAGTTCCATGATTTGCTTGTAGAAATATTTTAGAACCGTGTGAAAATCACAGCTCTGGCAGATAGGGCATGCAAAGCAGTAATGAGTGACCCTCAGTATGCATGGAAAATTATCAGAAGATATGATTGATCTTTTAAAAGTATTGTTAGTCTCTTTCCTGAGGCAAAGACCAAGTCTAAGCACAGAAAAACAAATATGGAGGAAAGCTGTCTTGAGCATTATATTCTTGAAAAAATTGTTACATATGACACCTTCTCTCTTTCCTACTGCTCATTTATAGACAAGAGTTGATTTGATGAACAACTATTTAAGAGTAATTGGAATTGGAATTACATGGAAATTTGGAAATGCAGTTCTTGATATGAGTGTTTGAACAGAAGAATCTGAGATGGTAAGTGATGAGTACCATGAGCACCCTGAACAGCAAAGAAAAGGTATGAATATTTAAATTGTTAATTCTGAGATTTAGTCAGGGAAGAACAAATATTCCTCCATGTCTCATTCGTGTTAGTGGACTTAGGAATTTCCGTGGAGATTTTGTCTCCTTTTCACTTATACTATGTCACTATAGAAAGCAAGGTTAAAAAAGAAACGGAAGCACAGCAATGACTTGGCTGAATGTGTGGAAGACACCTCAGCGTTTGGAAATTTCTCTGTGTCAGACTTTGGCAAGAACATGTATAATACATGAAACAGTCCAAAGTACATTGGCTTTATTTTGCAAGATCACATTTCTTTTGCTGTTTAAGTGCTGAGGTGTCCTACAGTCTCTCGTCTCCATGGTACATAAAGGTATGGTGGCTTTTCTTTTGTTCTGGTCCACTGCAAATATTTGCACACTGGGAAATGTTTTAGCTCTGCAGACCAATACATCAGCCATCTGCCTAGAAAAGCCCACACCTTTCTGCTTTGAGACGGATACATAGAGGGAGGATCCTGTTCTGTAGGCTTCCAGATTCTTGTGCCTCGCCTCTCTGACGTTAACGTTTGTTTGACTACGCTTTGTCTGATTACAACAGATAACTCCCAACAGTGAAATAGGTATGAATATATGAGCAGGTGGCAATAGAGTTTGTTTTCCAGAATGTATTGTGGTCGTAGTAAAGGGAGAAGCCAGAAGAATTTTACACAAAACATTTGCTTCCATAATGTAAATATGTTACTACTGGGATCCATAGGTGTAGAATACAACATCTGAATTCTGTAGAGTACGTAATCTACACAGGTAGGCTTTCACAGCATTAGATCCTTATATAATAACTGAATGGTTCTTTGTAAAAATAGCTGCTGCTCTCACACAGAAGTTTCCTGTCTTTTCCTCTCCTCCTTTACCTCTAAGCTGAACAGCAGTAGTTAAATAAAGCTGGTTGTTGTAGATCCAGTTGACCAAGAAACAAAAGGAACATTTTTCCAATGAATATGAAGAGATGTAAGCAAAGCATGTGAATAAAGATCTGCCCACTATTATTGTGACTGTGTTTGCATGCCAACAGAGAAGGGAATAGCATGTCATGCCACTCACTTGAGAAGAAAAAAGGAGGAAAGAATAACGTTGGGTCTGTTGTTGCACAGGCTACAAATATATTATCTTGTTCCTGACCAGAAAGAATTTAATCTGAGGTCTGTGTTTATGTTCCATCAGGAGAAATATTACCTAGCGAAGATGAGACGGCAGAGATATAGTAGCAACTGTCAAATTGAGGATGAATGCTAAGCTAAGCCGTGAACACAGAAAGTATTGTACAACATCCACAGTGTTTTCTACCTGAATATCTAGCTCCACCAAAAGGATTGGATCTGAATCTTTAAATATCACAAGGATTTAGTCCCATTTCTTGAGGCTACAACTGAGAACAGATTTCAGCCTGATACCTGTAAGGATCTGAGAAGTGAAAGGAGAGAAATCCCATTTTCATTTAAGCCTGTGATGAAGAATTCTCTAAAAGCAGCTCAGTTATGATTTCAACTAAATGGTCCCACTGAATCGTGACTGCTGAGTTACTGTGTTGTGTGCCTGTGTATGCTGTGTCTTCCCTCTCCTTAGTATAGTAATGTAATTTGAGTCCAATCAGTGGCCAGCTATCAGCTCAAATTCAGGCCACAGATATGTGCATTTGTTTCTTCTTGAAATGGGAAATGAGTTAAAATGCTCATCCACTGTGCAATCCCAAAGGAGCCCTCAGCATATTCATATTCTTTTGCTTTTTTATATGTGATGCTTCCCTTCCTACACTGGAAAGCTAATGGAGCACAAATGCAGCCTTCCCTTAAATATCCACCTTAGAGCCTGGAACTTTCATATTCTGGACCTTAAATAGGTGAAGGAGGCACTGCCTTATAGAATAAATAGCTCACATTTTATTTCCTACCCAAGTTAGAACAGGAGTTGTTTCAAGTCAGTGTTTTTCATGACCTCATCCAATAATTTTGAAAGCAAAGGGAGAAAAAATCTGCAAAAGAATAAGAACTTTCTGCCTACTTTTTGTTTATATTCTGAATCTACCATACTTCAGTGTTTCAGAAGTTGTTCTGTCCTGTGCTTCTCTCCAAAGTAAATCTTCTCTTGACTCTGTTTTGCGAATGCTGCCACAGCTATCCTGTGTCATCTCTGGCAGGTTGCTCCATCCTTTTCTCCTGAACATCTCTGACATGCTTAAGATAGGGAGTGCCCACAAGTCTGGGAAGTGTTGTCAAATCTGGAATAGATATGAACGTAAATGAGATAAACACAGAGGGGATGTAATTACTAGTTTAATTTTGTTTCCAGCATTTTCCCTTGATTATCAAGAAAATATACTGCTAAAACGAATATATATTTTTTCTTTTATTATTTGTTCCACAGGTCATTTATCACCCTCTGTTGGAGTATACATCCAAATTTCACATAGCTATGAAAACAGGTGCAATATATTTCTTTTATGACACATTAATACTCAGTATTGTAAGTTACTATAGTTGTCCTGCAGAGGATTATCCTTCATATTTCATACATGCATTTAGGTGACATCAGAGGAAATGGCAGGTAACAGAGATAAGTGACACTTGTGCCTCGCACCGAACATCACATTGTTGCTCTTTCTCCAGATGGATGACTTACGACTTTGCTGTAGTGAAGGAGCATATCATAGGCATAGGAAAATATTTCCGCTGACTCAATCTTGTTACATAAAATAGATGTCTACTCTTCCATATGGTGATCTTGGGAGACTTTGCATATACAAACTTTTTTACACAGATTCCCTCACCATGCTTCCACTATGATGTTTGTACTGGGAGCTACAGAAGGAAGGATCCTTTGAAAGTGCCATTTAAAAGAAAAGGGCTAGGAAAAGCCTACTAATTTTTCCTGTACCAGACTTTACAAGCATGACTAGCCTCAGGTGTGGAGTTCCAGGATTATCTCCTTCCATCTCTTGCGTCACTGCATTTTTATCATGGCAAAACCTGTAGTTGCTATTTGATGACTATCACCTCACAGAAACCCCATGTTCAGCAAGAAGTATGTTCTGTTTTCAGCTATCAGAATAATAACTAAAGAGTGATACAGAAGAAAGCAAACCCTAGATCTGAGTTTTTTTTCTCTATTAGGTATTCCAAAATCTACAGCAAAAGCCTTCCGTCTGATTTGCCAGCAATATTCCTTTAATGAGAAATAAGCACATAAAATTGTGTCATACTAAAGATTTACAAGCTACATGAAATAAAAAATTGGAGGTGAGACGTAGCTAATAACTTACATCATTGTATTGTAAATAGACATCAAGTATTGGCTATAGCTCTTGATTGGAAGTTGTAGCTGACAATAAAGCTACTGTTCAATTGATAATATACAGCTCAAGTTGCTTGCTCCTTAAACCATCACTTTCAGTTATTCAGGTAGCTAACTCCACTTCAAAGTGTTTGATAGATTTCTTCTCTGTTTCCCAAATTGTAATGGTAGCCTCCTTTATTTCCTCTTCAAATCATACTTTCTCATGAAATCTGGTTTACCTGGTTGGTAAGAGTTCAAAGAGATAGCAGAGAAAGAAGCTAAATAAATGCTTTAAAATGTTGGAATTCTTGGCGCAGCTTCACCTTCTAGAGGCTATGAACATTTCACTGTTGCTTACAATTCTGTCTGAATGAGGCGTAGTGCTTTCTTCATGTTCTCTATTACTGAAAGAAAAATAAGTAACTGTAAAATATACTCAATGCATTTTGATTAGTACATTCTTCACGTTGAAATTAATGCAGGATTATGTATTTTAGTGGTTCCTATGTAAATGTTCCGGCATCGATACTAAAGCTGAAGGCAAAAAGTGTTGTGAATCAAAACGTAAGGAGTTGAGTATTGTCGAATCCCTTTTGCTTCAGCAATCGTGATAATCAGATGTGACATGCATATTTGATGAGAGATACTGCATGGGTTTCAGATAAAGGTACAGAGTACTAGTTCAACCTGAAAAATCACATTCCTTTTTGAAATATGGGTAACAAGCTTTTTTTTTTTTTTTTTTTCCCCAGTCCCCTCCCACCTCTGCCTATTAACATTGCATAGTTGGATACCTTTGAGCACAGTGACTCTCACCATTCACCAGCAAACAGCTCAGGTCTTGGTCCTGAAATTTCTCATCCGTGATCTTTCAACTCATATCACCTGAGTAGACCCAGTAAAGCCATTGGGACAATAGATGTGCTTAAGTGTTTGCTAGAACAGGTTAGACGCTGTAAATTACTGTTAAGTGCTCGCAAACATTCTTTATTCATTACTTCGAGATCTTAACTGATTCTCAAACACAGACGATTGGCATGGTGTGCATCTGGCTGCTTACAGTACGAAATGCAGAGTAACACAACAAAACAGGCACTTACAGAATGGTATGTCTTGTGGTTCATAAGTGTACAGCCGATTAGAGTATCTTCCTGTGATATCAGCTCTCACCGTGAGAGATGGGTCTGAAAAAGAAACTGTGTTAATCGCTGCTTTCCACGACAGAGGAGGGCGATGCCCATTGCACAGCCCTGTTTTTGAGAAGTTCTGATTTTGCCAGCCACAAAGTGCGAGGCTGTTACGCTCTGTTCCAACGAACTGTTTTTTATGTGGAGAAATCTTACAAAAGCTAATGCTCAGTTTTATATTTCATGGCTATTTTTAAGAGATTGATTACACATATGTTTTGTCCATACTTGAAGAAAACCATCCTGTTTTACAAGTTCTGGGGTTACTCTGGGAGAGGCAGTCTGACTGGATGCACAAATAATGAGGGTCATGCATAATTAATGTAACATTATTATATTACCTAGAGACCAGGACTAAGGTCTTGTGATTCTTACTGTTTCCATTACAGGAGAAAATGGTTGTAAATACTGAACTAGTTCCCCTTCCGGGCTTTCTGTTAACTAATCACCTGACTTCTTTTACTACCTTGCTCTGAGCAGGGGCTTCATCTCACCTACTTTTGATGCCTGTATAGTCAGTGAAAGGGAACATGAATTGTGGGGCATGATTTCTTGATAGATTTCAGAAGTCAACTTTACAATGCAGTAGATCATTGCTTAAATTCTGTTGATTGTTGACTTGCTCTGTGGTAAGGTCTGCACTGTAGATGTGTACATTCAGTCTGATATTTGACAGCTCTGTCTAAGCTTTGTTCCTAACTGCACTTGCAAAAGCACAGAGAGCTAACGGGCTGACAGATGCCCAGATGCTAACAGATATATAAGCACCTTGCTCCCAAATGCAAATGAGGTACCCTTCAGAACATACCTATAACCTGAGGAAGTTTACAGGGGCTGAAGCCTGTGACAGAACGAGAACTGAACTCAGGTGTGCCAAATTCCATACTATTGCCATGGTAAAGAGAAATTCTGAGCTATTTTCTTTTTGCAAAATAATTTGTCTTGATGTTTCTGGAGAATGACACTGGCATAGATTCAGAGATCACATCCTCAGAAGATTCATAAGTACTGTACATACCTATGAACATGATTCGAGGCACGTATTGTCCATCAGGTGACAGGTTTTTATCTGTGGTTTCATGCTGGCAGAGAAATTAAAGCTAATTATTAAAATATTCCTATAAATTTAGCTGAAGTATCATCACTTGTGAACAGTCTTATACCAGAGGACAAAAATACAGAAGGGGTACATACACACATAAATGCATATATGAGGGCTGCTCTGAAAGTAATGCTTCCTATTTTATTGTGTTGGTCCATGACATCAAAGATGGATGCTGGTGATGTGGCAGTAGAAGCTAAACCTTCGTACCAGTGTTCCATTACATTTTGTTGCAACAGATGGCAGTAGAGACAGTCTGACAGAATGGCATCTGTTGAGACGTGCATGAGAGGCAAAGGTGTGTTCCATGCAGAAAAAATTACACCTCTTGACATTAATTAACACCTGCTGAACTGTTATGGACAAAAACAGTGGATGTGAGCACAGTGAGGCATCAGGTGGTGTGTTTCAGCAGTGGCAACAAAAGTATGAAAGACAAGCAATGGTCTGGATAGCCATGCAGATTTTTATGGCTGTGGCATGCAGGCTCTTGTTTATTTCTGGTGAAAATGCATGGCTAATGGTGGTGACTACGTTGAGAAATAGTTGTTTTTAGTTGAGAATTTGCTTTATCAAACAGTGTAATTGTACCTTTTGTATTGTTGTAATTTCCATGGAAAAAAATGGGAGGCATTACTTTAAGAGCCATCTATGTAAATATGTTTAACTGAAATGCCAGATATACTTAGCTAAAATATGAAAAAGTAAGACAAGAAAACACAGACCAAAAAGAGCTACCATACAAACCTCCCCAAACTCTTCTTACCATGAGATTCAGCATAATGAAGCTATCTTGGGCCATTTCTTGTATCTCTTCATTTTCAGCAAAAGCTTTCTTCAGTGCTAGAAAAGACAGGAATATTTTTAAGTCCATTGTAGATGTTGCCTTTCCTACAGTGTTTAGGCACCGAAGACTGGTCCCATCATTCCTGCCTCTGCTCATTCACATTCCTAGGAGACACTTTCGGGATCTATCATGGCTTTATGGTTTTTGATCTGTGTGTCAGTGCAACCTTCTAGCTATGAAAATGGAAGCTCTTTTCTGTCATTTATGAAGCCTGTAGTTTCAGCAGATAATGTCTCAGTTTGACAAAAGTGCATTATTCTCAGAAAATTCAGTTTCAGTTATCTTGTCCTTATCTCCTTCTCAAGTTACCATTTCAGGAAAGCCAAGCATTGTTAAATATGTTTGATGAGTCAGTAGCAAATATTTGTCTTTAACCTGACAGGTGTTTAATCAGAGATAGCAGGACAGTAGCACTAAACGTTTTTCATGTTCATTTTTTGAGTAGATTCACAGTGACTTTTTTGTAAATAACAAATTCTTAGCTTTCCAACTACAGTTTCATGCACTTACTTAAGGAATTTTGAGTAAATTCAACAAATATATAAATAGTTGTGTTTTCTTAAAAAGATGTTTACAAAAATTTAACACTGAAAAAATCAAAATTACCTTGGCAGTATTGACAGTCTTCCAAATGATGAATGACCATCAGTGGCTTGTTACTTTATTAATAATAATAAAACATGTAGTTAGTTTATTTGAAAAGAATGAAAATAAGTGATTTTGCTAGTAGGTAGGAAAAGACAAATTGCATTTCATTTCCTGTTAAATCTCATTGAAACCTAACAGGCATTCTGTGAGGGATGATAGACATTTCTGTGCAAGAAAAAAGGGATGCTAGAGAAAGAAATAGAAGTGGAGTTCCTGTGTCTAGATAGCTTTTCTAAAGTAAAAGTCTACAAGAATAGTAGAGTGGTCTGCTGTGATGGTGTTGTTTTTTTTTTTTTATTTTCATTACAGTATATTGAGGGGTGACAATATAATTAATAAAAGTGTCTTTCAATACTATTTTTTAATTTCTTACCTTTTTTTTGCTTGATAAAGCCCTTCTTCATAAGTTTGTACCCATGTTATTTCATCTCCCCAACCTACAAATATAATAAAATGATTAATACTTGGTTAGGTAAGTAATTCATAAGAAACTACATTTCTTACCTTGGTCAATAGCTGTACACAAATAGATTTTTGTTCAAAGCTTACCAAGCATTGTAGATATATTAATCCTACATCTGCTAATAAATGTATCAGAATATTAAAAAATAAACCAACAAAACAAGCAAAAACAATCAAAATACCTCAGCTGACTGACTACCCAGTGCAAGTCCTTTGATACACTCAATAGAACTCTTTCTGAATACTTAGTGCTCCCTAAATTGGTGACAAAATTCTTTATACCTTCATATTTTCTCTTCATGTTGTCTGCTCTGTATTTCATTTTGATGCTGGGGGCTTAAAGAGAAAGCTGGCTCAAAAAAGTGAGAGAGAAAATTTAATACAACAAATGAAATAAAATCAATTTTAACGTGACTGTTCTTAAAAGAGTTTTAAGCCTGACTCCTGAGTTAAGAATTTCAGTCTCTGGAGTTGCAAGTACTTCAGTTAATTAAACAATTTAGTTAAAGAAAGGCTGTTAGATGAAAATCTCCATCAAAATAAAATCCTAATGAGTCTTCACTGCTCATCCATTGAACTCAAAAAGCAGACTGTCTTGTTGGTTTCGTGCCTTCAAATCCCGAAGATGCCAGCCCCTGTGAAGTAGCTCCCCATCTTCTTGTCAGTGGGGCATTTGACTGGGATGCTATAGACCATCCCTTCTTTCAGAAGACTTATTTCATTTTCACATCTGTCTGATTTTTGATGGGGTTCTAGCTTGTTTGACCAGTGGGTTCCCTGGCTGAAATCGACTGTTGACATAGACAATGGCAGAGAGGAGTCAGTTGGGTTCATTTTACAGCAGTAAATTATAATAAAAAAATACAGTATTCCCTCTCAATCTGTTATGATTGGAGGTAATGTTCTGAGTGGGAAAAATTAATTCTGATCTAGTCAAGACAGGCAATAGGAGCCAGACTGGATATAAACTTTCTCCACGGGTACCGCTTGTGGAAAGTGATTTGACACTTCTCTTTGTTTTGTCTAGGGATGAGACAGTTTTATATTGTATATACAATGGGTTTCATATGGAAAAGCACTTATTCTTGTTTTTGCTATTTTATGAAGCCTTTTGATTTCCCTGTTATTTATATATATATATATATATATATATATATAAAATATGGAATAATTTCAAACTTCACTAAAACTATACTTCCTACAACTGATCTGTTTCAATGCTGCCTAAACACCCCTCAAGTAACTGGCCTCAGATGGAGCTTTTGTGAATGCAGGGCTTTGTCAAGGCTGCATGTGGGAGGAACTCAGAGGTGAGCCATGGATGCTTTGTAGGCTTTGCACAAGTTGCAGGGGAGCTCAGGGAAACAGCTGGAGATGTTCTGAGGTGATTAGGTGTGAAAAGAGAAGGAAGACTGAGAAGATGGAAAGAGCTATTTTTCCATACAATTTCCTTGTTCAGACATAAAAATGTTAAAATACAGTCTTCCTTTAACATCCAGGTGGAAAATTATGCACCACTAAGGAAGTGTGAGTGTGACTATCTGATAAGAGGGAAAACAAAAGGAAATTAAGGACCAGTCAGTAAATAAATAAATATCCCTAATGGTTGAGACTGTTACTCTGTGGACAAAAATGGCTCTGTAGAAAAAAATTTCATTTGAGACTGAAGTTATGAAATTGTGTTTCAGTAGCTATAAGTTACCATCTCAAGCTGTCTACTAACAGGTGTGTGAAAAAATATTTTTCACTGAGAGTTCTTCAAGAGCAGCCAGGTTCCAGAGACTCAATTTGAGTTATTTGATTCTAACAGGTCTCTGTGACTGACATAAATTAGAAAGATTATCTGAAGCCTTCAGCCATATTCTTAAGAACAAACTGATGAAGTGAAATGAGAGGGAGGAAAAAGATGGACTACTTATTGTGTGACTAAATGCTGAAGAATCATGCCTCAGTAAGCACATACATGCTTTAAATAACATACATGGTAAGATCAGCAGGTAACTACGTAAAATACCTCTTGATAATGTCTGAGGTGCTCTTCTTTCCTTTTTGATTGCCATAGCAAGGTTGGATGAGACTGCAATTAGCAGGAGAGACAAAGCCAATGTTGAATGGAGCATTATTTCTCTAAAAAGTTCCTTTTCAGTGCAACAAGGAAACTGGAAAACAAAGCAGCATCTTTAGTTGTATGGATTCATTACTTAGTGCAGTGTAAATCAACTTGCCATTCTAATGGTCTATGCTATGGACAGTTTGGGTAATTGCTACAAACATTTTATTGTTTTGTTTTGTTTTTTTTTTAGAGCAGTAAAAATAGATAATCTTATTATGCAGCACTGCTTAGAGCAATCAAACTTCAGAGGCAAGAGACAGTTTTCTCTACTCTGCGATCAGGGGAACAAAGTTTCTACTTTTGGTCATCCACCATTTCATCCTCATGAAGCAGTACAATATTTTAATACAGGATCATGAAAATTTCAAGACAGTGCTACTATTTATTTTTTTTTTGCCCTTTTATTTTTAATTACTGTAAACCATAACAGCATTTTACATATAGTAGGTTTTTTGGTCTAAAAATGTGCTGTAATAAAACCCTTAAGAAAATTATTATTTTAAATTGCTAACAAAAATTGATAGCTTAATTTTGTGAACTAGAATGTTAAAATAGTGAGATAAATTTCAAACAAATGTTCTGAAACAGTTTTTCTCCTCATGGCGTTTAAAAATTGATTTCTAGCTCAAATCCTGCTTAAAAAAAACAACCCACCCATGTCCCAGTGTGCTTTTGTATTCTAAAGGTGTTTTCTTTTCTTCCTGATAAAAGTCACTCCAAGAAGTTCAGTAACTTCTGTTCTTGATGAAAGTCAGAGAACAAAAGTTAACAATTGAGGAAAGATAACACAAAGCCAAATACATCTAATTTTTGCCCAGTGCAATAATATTCAGGTAATTAAAACTCCTGTTTTCAGATTGCACTGAATTAGAAAATGCAATGCACATAGCCCAGGATATCACTGAGCCAGCTTGCTGATTCTCTGGAGATTCATTTTTCACAGACTGGATTAAAATGCTCTCCGGATGAGAGACTGAGCTATAGGAGTTACCAGGATGACCTGTCAAGAAAGTCCTTTGACTTTAACACACAAAAATTCAAATCTTCCTCTAAAGCACATTAGCCTGTATTTATGACAAATTTTTCACATTGAATTTAGAAGTGACATCCAGTGTGCAGTTACAGCCTTGAGTGCTGGTGAAAGTGAATTCATGCTTCCTACGGCAGAGGCATAGAAAGTGCAGTAGGTTTTGTCTTTGCTTTGGTGAAATTCTCAACGCTACAAACATCACTGTTAGCTGTTTAATTTCTGATGAACAAATTCAAAGGCTACTTTCAATAACTCAGCACAAGAAAAGTATTCTGTTCAAATAACTGGAGAAATAAATGCACTTTCAAAAGCAGAAAAAATGAAGTACGCCATATTGCTGCAATTCTGTATTTCTGAAGAATTGTCATTGGGTTATAATAAATTCATTAATTATAATACTTTTCCTCCTCAATCTGGATCATCATCATTCTCTTTCTCCCCCATGTTATATCACAGCTCTAGAGCTATTCTTTGTTTCACATAATTTTCTCCCTAGGCTTGATCATCATATCTGTTGTTAACTCAATTTAGAAAGTATCTCCTTGGAGTTTTGTAAATCTGCACGTTAATATGATATTTGGAGATTATGGAATTCTAATAAAGAGATGTCAGTTCCCAGTGTTTCATAAGGAGAGACTCCTACTTTTAGGTAAGCTTGGAAACAGAAATTTGTGAGAATAGGAATTCCATTCAAATTACCCCCACATTGGTACAAACCACTAACTTCAGTCAGCAAAATCAGATCATGATACCCCACTACTTTACTTCTGATAAATCAATTTTTATAGCAGCTCTCTGTGAAGCTTAGTGACTATCCTCAGCTTTAGTTTACCTGTCCAATGTTAATAATAAAATACAGCATTTCTATCATATCAAAACTCCATTTAAGCATTAATAGTTATGGCTTTGAAGTCATACCAAATATGTCACTAAATCAGTATGGAATGAGTGAATCAGTTCTGTCTTCCGTGGTATATTAACAAAAAATTAAAGTGCAAATCTCTTCAAATCACACAGTTATTTAACTGAAGCGTAAACAATTGATTATCATCATAATGGAAATCCACAGGGTTTTGGAGGGTTAATTTACAAAGATGCAACTGAACAGAATTCAGTATTCTAAATCTTTGATGTTATGTTCTGCAATGATAGTTGGTTGAGTAAAGAAAAAAAGACAGCCAGCGCCATAAATGTTGCCTTTATCTATACATCAGAACAAACGTTTTGCTAACTAACCTCTTAGCAGTTATCATTTGTCTGTTTTATACTACTTGCTACATGTTTATCAAACAAAACTCATTTCTGTATTAAAGTTGATAATAAGAAATGTTTTCTCACCAGCAGTGGTTAGTTCTCTTGATGGAAAGTCTTTTTCCTGAAATTAGGTAAAAGTCAGCGTGCTTTACACACAGAAGACCTGAACTATCCAGGTCTCTCTGTAACAACAGCAACCTGGGAAAAATGAGAGAGAGCTTTTAGCTGGAGACTAAGTTAATGCACTTCCACCCTCCCCCTTCCTTTTCTGCCATCCCTCCAACTTTCACTCTTGTGGTTCCCATACTTGTACACTGAATCCTTGGATTTCTCTTCATCTTGGCTTGTATCAGGTGTCTTGTGTGAGGATTGAAAAGAAATAGTAGCTTATGTGTGTCTGTTGCTTCCCCCCTTAGACAGTTTATGTCTGGCTTATGCCCAATGAAAAAAGAAACCACCAATGAAAGCCTGAACTGTAGGGGCTTTTGTTTCCAGTGAATGGCTGGGTTACTGGTGCCTGAAGATAGGTATGAAGCTAATAGGAAGACACAAGGGTTACTTTGTGTAGAAGAATGTAATTAACAAATAAAAGTAACTTATTTTTGAGGGAGAAATAAAATACTTTATCTAAAGGGTATGGTTTAGTTTTTTTTGCAAGTCGTGCTTTAAAAGTGGTCTCATTCTTTGGATGTGATGCTTGATATAATTTTGACTTATCTTGATAAATATGGGAAAAAACCTTTAATTCATTCTCTTTGCACAGAGAAGGAATTATCTGGATCACTTTTTCCCTCTTCATTGGATAACCTTTGCACAGTTTATGGGGACTGTATGCTTGAAGTTTTTCCTCCTTTTCATGTAAAGCCCGCCTTCTTTTTTAACTTGGAAGCTTTAATCTATTGATGTTTGTTGTCACTTACATGTGTGATTATTTATGTGTACTTCTTGTGTTATATTTTTCTATTCAAGAAACCTTTTCAGCAAGGCCTCTGAAATTTGAGCACAAAAGGTTACCTTTTCAGATGCTACCTGTGATTCTCTCCTTTCTTCCTCATAAAGATTTGCTGCTACTAAAGATCAGCTTTTTGTTTCCGAACAGGCTTTTGTGACCTTTTGTTTTTGGTGCTCAGTTATAATTCCATTTTTTGATAGAAAATTCAAACTAATGCTTCCTGTTAACTGGAAGATAGGCAAAATGCAAGAACTCTGCTTTATGGGCACAAATTCTGACACTGCAGCACTCAATGTGATAATCATGTCAGATCTGTTAACTGGGGGAAATTTGTCCAATCCTTTAGCTGAATAGAAATCTGAATTTGTTTAGTGCTTTGTATGAGAATTCATGCTATGAGAATAAAAGATAAAAGAGGCAATTAAGTACTCAAGGGAATTTCTATGAAAAAGAGATGCCCCAGTGGCAATCTTCACTGTTTGTTTTGTCATTGGTTATAGCTTCTACTCACAAGAGTAGGTGTGGAATCTTGGGAATTACAGCAGACTCAGAAGAAATAACTCGGTTCATAAGTAAAAGAAAGTATATTCAATCCGTATGAGAAATAACATTTTCTGTTTTGATGGTTTAAAATGTCCTCTCTGAGTGCCTGCAGATTTGAAACCTCCTGTCTGGTACTCCTGTATCTTTGGGTTCCATGGAGATGGATTTCTTCCTGGGTTCCAGGGCAGGTATGAAAAGATGATGAGGTGGAGCGCACCACTGCTGCAGTAATGAAAGGGAGTATTGAGACTCTTTAAAAATCTGTTTTCTCCTTCGGCTTCTATGATTTGGACACTTTAATGGATCTACCAGTTAAGAAACCCTAAATTTGAAAACATAGCTTAAAAAGAAAATGCAGTTTGATCACATTAAGCCATGACTGCCTTTCTTGAGCACATGAAAACAAATGATTTGACCCTTTGTTTTGCAAACCAGGCAATGTCAGCTTTCTCCATTATGACAGAAAGACAAAAGGCTCCAGGGCTAAAAAAAGAAGCGAAAGTGCTCAAACGTCATTATTGGAAGAAAGAAAAGGGAACGAAGGAAAAAGGCTGTGACAAATTGCTCAAAGATTCCCTTCCCTGTTCTCCCAATGAGTTGATTCTTTAAGGTCTGAATATCAATTTTGATATTGCTGTTGTGTTTTTTTTTTTTTTTGTTGAAACAAACCATCCTGAAAGTTTGGAGTGAAGTGCCCAGCCCTGATTGCATGAATCCTGGAACATTTAGTTATTATAGTGCTTTTTTAGGATTTGATTATTATATTTGTCCACATATTCCCTTTCAACCCACTTGACCCCTTCAAATGAAGTACAGACCTGAGCAAATGATGTTGCCAAGCTTGGCAGTGAAACACAGCTAAATCTGCAGGGCCAAGGACCAAATCATAATTGGAAAGCTGTCCAATACTTCTGCAGTTTGGAATAGCATGACTGTAAATATAAATGTAGTTTTTAAATATAATACCCATTCAGAAGAGCGTGAATAGGCAGCCTAAAATAATAATCATTGAAAAGGCAGCCTAAAATAATAATCATTGAAAAGGCAGCCTAAAATAATAATCATTGAAAAAAGTAGGATTAATAAGTGCGAGTCCTTGGGTATGTCTTACCTAAAGATGGTACCTCCAGCCAGTGCTGGCTGGCAGTGAGGCTGAGCACTGTGGGCTGATATGGAATGTTAAACATGAGCAGTTGATCTGCTTCTGCAGAAAGGAAAGCTGCAGAAA